CCATCAAAATTTTTAATATGAGGCTTAACATTGTCACACACACACACACACACACACAAACACTCACGCATGCACGCACACACACACAAACACACACATGCATGCACACAGGCGCACATGCACACACACATGCATGCACACACACACGCACAAGCACGCACACACGCACATGTACACACGCAGGCACACACACGCATGCACACAGACACACACACGCACGCACACAGACACACACACGCAGGCACACAGACACACACAAGAAATTAAGTAGTTTTCTGAAATCACCTCTAAGATGATGACAGATTCTTATGTTCAGTAAATTCTGAAGAAAAGAAGGAGAGAGGGGAATGTTCTTCTTTACACATACGTTGTGGCACAAAAGCAGTTTCCTCCGTCAGAACCGACCCACATTCTAGCTGGCTGGCTTCCTGCTTCCATAACACTTATTTTGCATCACAACATAAACATCACATTAAGTTAAAACTGGTTCTGTTTCCTGTGTGTTTTAAGTCAGCTGTGTGCTCTCTTGCTGCAGCAGGAGAAATCTTTTCACACGGATACTCAAGATAAACATCATTTGAATACATTTGCAAGTATAGACCACTAAACCGAGATAGTTCTGGAAGGCCTGCATCTTCTTCACAATTGGAGCCCTGCAGCAACAAAACAAATGTCAGATACATTAATGACATCACATCAAACACACATTTAGGGCAAAGACCAAACTGCCATGGAGGAAGTCAAACTACAGTACAGGAAACAGAAATGAAGCCTTATCTTTAAGGTAGTAAGTGTGCACATAGTGCTGTGCAGCATGAGCGTGACTTTATGAGTGTGTGTTTTAGCAGACACACCTCTCTTATCACTGAGTCACCAGCCTGAAGTCTGGACTCTGCTGATGGTAGCAGCAGCCTTTTATAACACATAAAGGACCCTCACACACTCATCTGGGCACTTTAACCCCTTCATTCATTAATGAATATAATGTTTACGTTTCTGAAGTTTTGTATTCATTGGATTTTCTGTGTGTTTCTGTTTTCCATTTGTGCCTTTCTCATTGCTAATCACTGTCATCTAATTACACAAATATTTCAGACCAAACTTATCAGTCCTCATCTTCACTTATAGGAAAACGTGTGTTATCTTATCCAAATGTCACGATACTGTCAAGTGTCCCAAGAAAACAACAATTAAAAACTGAAAAGGAAACATTTTATTAACTTTGGAACTTTGTCACTAGCCACAGATTTGGCTTGCCTTTAGCACCCCCTAGTGTCCGTTTGTAGAACCGAAAGCAAACCCTATCTCCTCGCTGTGCGTTCATCTTTTTGACACCTTCATCTAACAGCTGAAATGTCTCCCCAGCCTTCCTTAGTGTCTACAGGAGTGTTTTGTCACTAAATTAAACAAACCAGCTGTGTTCATGATCTAAAACATACAGGGAACCTGCTGGAGTCAGACTGCAGTGCCAGGTAGGTCCCAACAGACCGGACCGGCACTCTGAAGTTGCAAGTGGAAAATTCTGGCCACAGGGGGTGATAGGAGCTGGGTGGTCTTTCATTAACCCTGATAAACAATTTAAAAATATGAAGTTGCAAAGTGTCCCTAATACAGTTGCATTGAGTAGAAATGAATGCTTTATAAGTTTATAGTCTTGTTGGACTATTTTCATGTTCAGCCTGCATGAAAACTCAGAGTGACGGATGATAATCAGCGGTAATCATTAAAAATGTTCTTTCATTGAATCAAATCTTTAAATTATCTCACAAATCTTTACATCAAAAGGACGTTAAAAGCTTGGTCTCCTCTGGAAAACAGGAATCTATTTCCTGATTTCAATATCCATGAATTAGCTTTCGGTCACTTCTAGCTCCTATTTTCAAAATGATGTCACCACAATTCAAACTTGATAGGTGATGTTTACTGTGAGAGCCATTAAGTCAGATACTCAGTTTGGCAAAAACACTCCTGAGTCTGGTTTCAGCTTCCGGGAATTAAATCTGATATCCCTCCTTCCACTAAGCCATGCTGTTGTAACTTATTCTCAGACGACAGAATGAAAAACTCCACAAAGACGCTTTGATTGTTTTATACTCGTTTACATTTCTGTGGAATTTCCCACGTGTTGCTGTAAATCAACATAAAAGGAGCTGAACAATGTCAAAAGTCTGTCTGTTGGATGGGCTTTTCTCACACATGACCTTATTGGGCTGATTCTGGACTATTACACATTTTTATAGGATCATAAAACTTTATCTAACTTGTTTGACAGGCTTGAACACAACAAGGGAAAGAAAATGTGCAGAAACTTGCTTGTTTTGGGAATATTTAAAATCGGTCACTTGGGGTTTTTCCACGCAGGCTGAACATGAAAATAGTCTCCTACACCTATCTCCTGCAGTAGCTTCTGATAGAAAACAGACGGTGAAACTCTAGGATCAGAAAATCCTGACAGATCTACGTCACACTGTCACCTAACATTCATGGTATCATCCATCTTGACTCACGACGGGGAAGGCTGCTGTTGATTTAGCGTCCAGGAAACAGCAGAGGACATTTCAGCTAGTAGAAGCTAACCATTAGCATTAGCAACTCTCCACCACACAGCAGAACTCCTCCAGGCTTGTGTTATTTGTGGAGGTAAAACATCAATGTTGCAGAACAAACAGAGTCAGTGGTAGAGTTGTGTTGCTGTTAGCCAATCGGAGGAGAGATGTCCAAATATCAGGAAGTAAGACTCCAGATCCTGCCGGTGTTCTGCTCTCTTTGAGGCATTGGGCTAAGCGCATCTGGTCGCCCCTTTGCCCCATTTTTTCTATCAAATTTCTATTTTATGCATTTTTACATATTTTAAAAGACATGTAATTTGTCTGGAAAGACTAAATACATGATTCCCCCTGATTGTTTTCTCCTTATAACAGTTGACACCTCTGAAATGTACTATCCTCATCCAATCAGTGTGAACGTCCTGTTCTTAATGACTGGATCCAGGTCCATTAGACTGTTTTCTGATGTTTTTTCCACAGTAAAAGTCTTAGTTATTTCTTGATTGTACTTTTAAATATTTTCATCGTACATACTGCCTTTTGACATTCAGTATTCTCTGTGGGCTTTTCAAGAGATCAAAGAGAATAAAATGTTCAGAAAGTCCAGTTCAGAGATTTTACTGTTTGTTTGTGCTGCTTTTGCTCATCACAGCATACCACAAATTATTTGTAGCAGTTGGGAGGATCAGCATGCCAGCCCTTGGCATGTTTTACATTCTCAGCAAGTCCTGTTAGAGCCCAAGAGATTAACTCAGATTACTGCTGTTCACTAACTTATGGGAAGCTGGGGGGAAGGCCCTGGGTTTTCAGGCAATAAGAAGTTCAACTGTGATTTTGCAATTGACATGCCCTGTTCTCCTCAGTCTCAGAATGCTGGATTTTGGGTGAAACCTTCCATGCATCAGGATGGTCACCTGGTACAGGCTGACTGTTAATGCCTGTAGTGGCGGTTCCTTTGTTTGTCAACTCACTTCATATTTTCCAACTGTAAAAGCCACTGCTGCACTGTGGTAACGTTTCATCTGCAGGCAGAAGAAGTTCAATGTCCAAACTTGAAAGCTGCGTTTTCTTCAAGGTTTATTTTCCTGGTGGGCAAGAAATAAAACACAGATCCTGTTTTCCATTGTTTCCTGCTGCTTCTCCTGCTCTGGTAAAAAATAAAAATAAAAATAAAAATACATACGCCCACCCCAGTGCATGCTGGCCCTATACCAGTGCCTACTTATACAAAATGACCCAGTGATTTTTCCTGACTGACTTACCAAGGTAAACAACAAAACAAACTACAAAAATAAACAACTATTAATCTACAAATAAACTTTAGAAATGCTTCAAAAAATATAAAGTGAACTAACTGCAAATTTAAAGAAAATACACAAAAATAACACAAATAAAGTATAAATAGCTCCAACACTCCGGCCCCTAATTGTGCATAGAATCACAATTAAAGTTCTCAAAATAAGGAGCTATTTCCTCAAAACATGCTCTTGGTCCTTGCTGATATTTTGGTTTTCAGGAAGATGCTTCCAGTAGCAAAACAAGTTTTGCAACAGGTCTTTCCAAAATGCTGGTCTTCGTTTGTAGTCGCACCGAATGGACCAATCCTTTTGTGTCCTGGTTCACACTAAAGACCTTTGCATCCACTATCCTCTTGGAACCGTGGGGTCTGCAATCAAGACAATATCTCCAGGTATGAGACATCTTTCAGTCCTTGTCCACTTTTGTCCCTCTTGCATCAGAGGTAAATACTCAGAGAGCCATCTTTTCAAGAACAGCTCTGCCAAGTACTGTACTTGTTTCCACCTTTTCCTAACATGAAGATCATTTTTGTCAGAGTCCTGGTGGTAAAACTGGTTAGTTTTTCAAAAACAACAAATGATTGGGTGTGAGGGCTTCCAGATCATTTGAATCATCTTACACTTTGGTAATGGGTCTATCATTTAATATGGCTTCAACTTCACAGAAAATTGTTTGGAGTCCTTCATAATACAAAACTTGTTCTTTGAGAACCGAGACCAAAGTGCTCTTTATGGAACGAATCAAACGCTCCCAAACAGCGCCTTGGTGAGAGGCTGCTGGGATGTTAAAGTTCCATTTGATTCCATCCTGAACGAATGCCCTTTGAATCTTAGCATGGTTCAGCTCAGCCAAGCTCTCTTTTAGTTCTCTGTTTGAGCCAACAAAATTGGTAGCATTGTCAGATCTGATGGTTGAAACTGGGCCTCGTCTACAGAGGAACCTCCGGATTGCATTTATGCAGGAATCTGTATTAAGTGCATATGCAATTTCTAGATGGACTGCACGGCTGGTCAAACAAGTAAAAAGAACTCCATATCTTTTCAGGAGACTTCATCCTTTTTTCACATGTACTGGCCCAAAATAGTCCACTCCAACATTCGTGAAAGGGGCTGCGTCTGGCAGAACTCTCTCTTCAGGCAGATCTGCCATCTTTTGTTCCACAAACGTTCCTCTGTTGCGTCTGCACACAATACAATGAGAGATGATTTTTCTGGCAGTTGAATTTGCATTGATTATCCAATACTTTTGTCTTAGTTTTGACAACATGTGAGCTCTTCCTGCATGTCCCAACCTTTGGTGGATATGACGTAAAATCAATGTTGACAAATACATGTCCTTTGTCAGGATTGCAGAATGCTTTGCTTCCATTGGCATGGCTGCTTTGTTTAAATGGCCGCCCCTCTAAGGACCCCAGCAGTCATCACTGGATCAAGCTTGTAGAGAGAACTTCTCTTGGGACTGCTTGGAGGCCATTGTTGATCAAAGCTATTTCAGTTTTGAATTCCTGTTGTTGTGCGTACTGAATAATGGCTTGTTCTGCCTTGTCCAAATCTTCTGGAGTTAGATTTTCTTGCTTCAGAGTGGACTTAAATCTGTCCTTGTTCTTTTCTACCTCTGTCTTTTGAGTCTCCAGATTGGCTTTATTAATGTTGGTAGAAACAGCAACACACTCCTTTCTCTTCTGTCCCAACAACAGCAGGATCCTTTTCAGTTTTAAAATCCAGGCCACAGAAGTTTTAAGTTTTGTCCAAGATGAGAAGTAATGAATGAGTTGGTTTGCAGCTTCTTGTGATTCTTTCACAATAACACTCACAGTCAGGTCCTTTTTGACCTCAGGGTCATCTACAGAAACTACACTGTGATCGACATCCAGTTTAGGCCATTCCTCCACTAACTTGTAGAGAAATTCTGGACCATGTATCCATCTTCCACCTTTAAGGAAGTCCTCTGCTCTCAGGCCTCTGGATCCGTCATCTGCAGGGTTTTCCTTGGAGGAAATGTATCTCCATTGATTCACATCTGTTGCTTTTCTAATAACAGAAATTCTGTTTGCAACAAAGGTGTTAAATCTTCTGGTTTCATTGGAAATGTACTTCAGCACAGTGGTACTATCAGTCCAGAAAACAGATTTCTCCAACTTTATTTCGAGCTCCTTTTGCAGCTATCTGTTTACTTGGGCTGCTAGATCTGCAGCAGTCAACTCCAGCCTGGGGATTGTAGTTTGCTTCAGAGGAGCAACTCTAGCTTTTCCCAGAATAAAGGCCACATGTGTGATGTTATCCTTTTCCAGTCTTAAATAGGACACTGTTCCATATCCGTCTTGACTTGCATCTGAAAAATGATGAAGTTGAGCTTCATCTGGTTTTCCATTGGAACTTGGTTTGATGCAACGTTCCGCTTCAAATGTTGAAATCAGCTGAAGATTCTCCAGCCATTTACACCATCACTTGGAGAGAAAGTGGGGAATAGCATCATTCCACTTAAAATTCTCTTGACAAAGTTCTTGAAGCAACAGCTTAGCTGGCATAATGAAGGGAGCCAAGATTCTCAACGGATCGTATAGAGAGCTAAACACAGACAAAATGCCTCTTCTGGATTGTGGACGATCCTGAACAGAGGTTCTGAACTTGAACTGATCTGTTTCTATGCACCACTGTAAGCCTAGTGCTCTCTCCACTGGAAGTTGATTGTTGTCCAAGTCTAGATTCTCAACTTCAGTTGCTTTTCTTTCCTCTGAGATACACGTGAGCACAGTGCGACTGTTGCTGATCCATTTGGAAAGCTGGAATCCTCCTTTAATGCAAATATCAGTCAGTTGCTTCACTATCTGCATTGCATCTTCCTCTGAAGCAACAGATTTTAAACAGTCATCCACATAAACATGGCGTTGATGTTGGCAACAGGTTCAAGCCTAAATCGAAGGAGAACCCCACCAATGAGTTTGTGAGGTCAGGCCGCTGTAGAATTTGACCGTTCAATGATGCTCCTTTGTAGGTTGTTCCGCAGTCAAATACAACTCCCAGCTTGCCTTTTGTGGGATGGTACACTCCATAATGAGGAATATACCACACATTTCCATCACTTTTCTGCAGCTCATCTGCCGGCACAGCTTCTGCATGTCCCTTTTCTAGCATGGTTTTCACACATGCAGCGTATTCCTTCATGTAGACAGCATCCTTTTCAAATCTCCTTTTTAGGTTCTGAAGACGCTGATGTGAAACCCAGAGGTTATTTGACAAGTTAGGACCTTTTTTCTTGAAAGGTAAATCCATGTCATAATGATTTCCAATCAGCTTTATTGAGCTACTAACAATGTCCATGAAACACAATCTTCTCTGGACATTTCAGTCTGCTCCTCTGATGATTGTTCATTAAAATCATGATTGTATTGCTGAACCAACATTTCTTTAAGATGTTCCACACAGATCCTATTGGCCGTTGTAACAGTGCACTCATTTTTGTTTCTGCTGTTAACTCCAATGTGCAAAAGACCGTTTATGACCCAACCAACTTTGGTTCTTTAAGGTCCACCGTCCACATTGTAGATCAGCTCCCAGGCTCTAGAAAATTTTAAGCATCAGCTCCAATCAGTAGCTCCACATGTCATGGTCCGTGGTGAGCTGCCCGCCTGTGACCCTGTTTTCTTCTGAGCATTGTCCACAGGTGGGCGTGTCTGAGAGCTACCAGCTGCTGCTGATCCCGTCATCAAGGCCCAGGGGATTTAAGGAGCGGTGTGACACTACACCACGGTGGATGACTACTCAGTTTGGGTATCGCTAGCCTCTAACCTGTCTCGGTCCTGTTTTGTAGATCCAGTATTTGCTAGTTCCTGTGTGCCTGCTAAATCCTACGTATCTGCTGGATAACCTGACAGGCCTCTGACGACTCTCTCCTGCTCTCCTCCAGGTTTCACTCCACTCCCCACCATCTCCATATTCCCACAGACTCCTGCATTTCAGATCACACTGTTTCCTCTCCTGGTCGCCCGCTTTCAGCCGCTCACCTGCCCTCGCCTACCTCCATTTCAACCCCTCCTCTGGACTAAGTTTCTTCACCTTCTGGATCTCCTCAGCTCACTCGGACCTGACCAAGCCCTCCCGTGCATCTTTCTTCTATCCGCAAACAGTAAGCTCCCGCCTAACTACAGATCCTCCTATTACCTCCACTGGAAATTCACCCAGTCTCCCTCCTCAGAATCTCGTTCCTGGAATCCTGCGACCAGTGCAGAGCTGCTTCAGTTCCCGTCACTCCTCTGAGCTCCCCGTTTAAAAAAAAAATAAAACTTTTCTTTCACTTACCTGTTTCCTGTGAGTTGATTCTGCATGCCGTGGGTCAAGAAACTACCACCCAACATGACACCACATCTGCATCAATATGATGGAGCTTGACATGTTTCAGATGAGGCCATTGATCAATATCTTCCTGTTTGGGAATATTCATTGTGGAAACTGGCATGGACTTTTGAGTCAAAACATCTGGTAACTCAATGAACTCCTTTACCTCCAATCCAGACACTTGCAAACCAGATACAACTTGTGCATTAACGATTTTATGTTGACTCATTGTTCTCAGCAGAATATTTGTCCTTTTACCTTGTGCAGTCTTTTTGCCAGAGTTTCTGGACAAAATGTACTTGATTTTCCAGGATCCAGAAATGCATGTTTGTACAATTTTGTTGCTCTTTTGACTCTTAACTTGAACTGCCACAATGGAAAAAACATCATGACCAGCCCTAATATGCCCACATGTCTGAGTATTTGCAAATGAGAAGTTGACATGAGATTTTGTTGTCCGGTGGGTTGGTTGTGAGGATGCACCTGGTTCCCTTCCCTCAATATGAAGAACCCCTGGGTGCTTTTGATGCATTGCAATCCAAATGACTCCTACAGTCTTTGCTAGTGTGACCAACCTTTAAACAACCAAAACAAATCCCATTTTCCTTGATGAATGTGAACTTGTCTCGACGCATCTTAGCTTTGAACAGCATACAGTTTAATACAGGGATGAGGGAGCTGAGCATAGAAGGTACTCGAAGGTCCATGAGGTTGAGGTGGGCAGTGGAGAGTGGAGAGGCAAGGGACAGCAGAGAGACGAAACGGGATTTTCAGAATCCAGGTTGTAGGCATTGGGTTGTGGAGGTTGGTTGAAGTCTGCAAAAATGTTTAAGAGGAGGTCAGGCACAAGGTTCCCAAAAAAGGCTGAATCTAGATCCTCAAAGCCAAAAACACTCAAAATCTCAAAAGGTGGCTGATAGGTGATACCCAAGTTAAGCTAATCATCCAGCGAAGTGAAGGCGTCTCTCAGCTTCTTAAATATCCCTGGCCGGCTGATGAGCTGCAGCCTCCCCACTTCCTGACAAGCCCACCTGCAGAAGGGAAAAACACTCCAAACTAATTAGTGACGTGGACGGAGAACCCCAGACCGTGACAGGATCCTTTCATCCCAAACCTTAAGGGTCAACCTTATGTCACCAGTATCTCAGCTGTGCACAAGGGGAAATAAAAACTGCTAACTTCTCAGTGAGGAGTTCCTGGCTTTGTTTGTTTTTTAGCTGTTGTGGGTTTCTGAACCTGAACGAGTGAGTTTCAAACCTGCAGAACGTGACATGAGGCTGGCTTCCATCGGATGTCTCTGTGTCTTCATCAGTGCCAATAGACTTCATTCAACTCTGTTGTTGCTTTAATGAACATTTGATGTATTTCTGTACAGCTGGCCCCTTGACGGCCTGGAATGGATGAACATGTTTTAATTTCTTAGAAAACAAGTTTAAATGGAAATACTGAACACCGATGTAACTGATCTCTGCCCTAACCCAAACCCTCTCCTGCAGAGAGTGAGAAAGACTCCAGTTTCACACTGCAAGCATCAGCGGAACGGAACAGCAGAGGAACGGCTCACTCGCGAACATCAAAGTGGTCCTTTTCACACCGGGAGAGTCTTGGCAGCGGCACGGCTTCCTCGCTGTACTCACGAGATTCTAAAATCCCTCGAGACTTCCGACACCTTCCTCATCGAACAAACAAAGCCGTTCCGTCACACGTGCTGACGTAAGTTTTATATACAACATCGCAACGTTGCATTTTATTTTGAAACTAACCGAGGATTTTACACTGAAACCGTGTGTGGTTTCCTGTCTCGCACTATTTTTTCCCTCAGCTTCCTGTTCAGGGTTTCTTTGTCTTCACTCATTAAACACTTTGACAAACACCAGCAGTCCTTAAGAGAACTTGACATGATATTCTGCAGATGCTGAGGGCAACACCTGTTTGTTCAGCTTTCCCAAAATGCTTTGCTCTTTGTCCAGCAGCTTTCCAAAAATAGCTCAGTCATCAAATTGAAATGCCCTCCAAAATCCTAATTTAGTTAAGTTTTTTTGTTTGTTTTTTACTTTGCAAATTTGACCCCTAAAACTGCAGCTGCTTCTGCAAAAATCTGAATTCCCAGAAGATGAACTAAAACATACTTAGCAAAACAATCAATCCATCCATTCACCATCTAATCATCCATCCATCTACCATCTAATCATCCATCCATCATCTAATCATCCATCTATCCATCCATCATCCATCCACCATCTAATCATCCATCCATCTACCATCTAATCATCCATCCATCTACCATCTAATCATCCATCCATCTACCATCTAATCATCCATCCATCTACCATCTAATCATCCATCCATCCACCATCTAATCATCCATCCATCATCTAATCATCCATCTATCCATCCATCATCCATCCACCATCTAATCATCCATCCATCTACCATCTAATCATCCATCCATCTACCATCTAATCATCCATCCATCTACCATCTAATCATCCATCCATCCACCATCTAATCATCCATCCATCATCTAATCATCCATCTATCCATCCATCATCCATCCACCATCTAATCATCCATCCATCCACCATCTAATCATCCATCCATCTACCATCTAATCATCCATCCATCCACCATCTAATCATCCATCCATCTACCATCTAATCATCCATCCATCCACCATCTAATCATCCATCCATCTTCTAATCATCCATCCATCCATCCACCATCCATCCACCATCTAATCATCCATCTATCTACCATCTAATCATCCATCCATCCACCATCTAATCATCCATCCATCCACCATCTAATCATCCATCCATCCACCATCTAATCATCCATCCATCCATCCACCATCTAATCATCCATCCATCATCCATCCATCCACCATCTAATCATCCATCCATCATCTAATAATCCATCTACCCATCCATCATCCATCCACCATCTAATCATCCATCCATTCAGACATCCATCCACCATCTAATCATCCATCCATCCATCATTCATCCACCATCTATCATCCATCCATCATCCATC